TCCATGCAAAGTGTTTCAAACCCTTATGAATGTATTATTGGAGGAAGGGTATTCATTGGGATGTCTGGCCAAAATGTGAAGGATATTGGCCGTTGTTCTACAATTGAGGATCCCCTTGTTGCACTAGGAAACATCTGTGAGTGGGGCCATCTAGCACCTACTGCCCCTGATACTCTTGGTAATTTGCATGTGATTATTTGTAGTATGTATTTAAGGACTTTGCAATAATTAATGGCAAAGTGGTGGTGAATGTCATAATTATAGTTGAGGGTAATTAGAAGATGAGAAACAATCAGTGAGTTGTAAAATATTTAAGTATATTTGAATAAGTGTTAGTAACAAAATAGTGCATGCTTACTTGACTTTTTATGTTTTTGAAGGGTTACTTAGATGAGAGGTCATTATTTTGATTAAACAGCATTTTTACATTTTTCTTGTTTGCAGTTTCTTACCCCTATGAAGGACAGGAGCCCTTCATCATTGATACCTGTCCAGATGTGATTTTTGCTGGAAATCAGGATTCATTTGGAACAACAGTAAAAGGTATATGTTTGGTTGCAGCCTTCTTGGGACAGTTACAAATATACATTCCAATCAGTCTTTTAGTTTGGGATTTTTTATATAGCCTTTGTATTTGTGTGACATGAGCAATATTATCTTTACCATTTCTCATCTTTGTTAGTTTAATAAAATTGTATGAGCATCAGCACATTTCAAGATTCCATGCAAGATCTCTGATGGGAGAGAGAAAAGAAAAGAAAATTATGTTTGCTCTTAAACCTGTTTTTCTATTCTTTTATTTATTTTTTTACATTTTTCAGATGTAAGTGGTCACAAGGTTACACTAGTGAGTATTCCACGATTCAGTGACACAGGAATGTGTGTTGCAGTGAACCTCCGTAATCTACAGTGTCAGCCAATATGCTTCTCAGTGGATGGAAATACTTTAGTTGAAACTTCAAGTCCTGAAGCTGAAAAGTGAAATGTGAGCTTGTCTTATGTTACACCAAAAAAAAAGAAAAAAAAAACACTTTTACACATTTGCTAAGGCTACAAAGATTTTTTTCTCTCTCTCTCTTTTTTTCTATTTTTTACTATATTTTATAGTGTAAATTAGGACTTAATATTACTTTTGAAATTTCACATTTATTTTATTATCCTTACAGTTCCTTACTTTATCACATTATCCCATTTGCATCACAAAAATCACAGTACTGAAAACCTGGGCAATGGGTTATGTAAGTGGCCAACATCTTGCAAGAAAAAAATATATGGAACATTTAGTTATTTGTGTCAATATATCATTTTTTCGTGATTTTCAATTTAACATAATACAACCTGCACCAGTAATATAGTGCGCAACATAGTAATTTCGTCCTTCCTGGAGCTGGCAATCTTCCAGTCACTGCCTTTGCACTTACATTCCACATTCATTAATCAATGGGAATAATGCTAAAACCCCCTTGTAAGCGCCAAATGAGTCAAATCACATTCCAAGAGGTTTGTGCACTCATGGCGAGTCTTTTCCATCAGCCTAGCCTTCACTTATAATGGCAAGTTCACATCACCCAGGCCGCAGCCAATTTTTCCCGATTGATGGCATGTTCACGTCACCCGCCCCTCAGCCTAAGTTTTTCCATGACTTGGCCTCAATGTTTAATGTTTGATTTTTGAAAATAAATGTGCTAGACATCAAAGGTCATACAGCACTATGGTAAAGTATTGCGTCGGAAAGGGCAAAGGAGAGTTAAACATTACAACAAAATGTGTGGGATGTCAAGGGTTTGAGTGTTATGGGGTAGTATGGTAGTGAAAAGGGTAAAAAGGGGAGTAAGTGAACTAGAGCAGAAACTAGTATGAAGAAAAGAATTATAGAGAATCTGCCACTGGGGAAGGTATAGGAAAAATGTTCAAGGAATAATAGTGATAACTGTTGAAAAGTAGGAGAAGCATCTGGGAGGAGGGAAGGTGTTAGATGTTAAAGATTATAGGGCGTTATAGTTAAGGATGGTAACAAAAAGGGAAAGGAGGTAGAGCAATTAAGTGAATCTGTGATTGGGGAAGGAATAGAGATAAAAGGTGATAGCGGTAGATAAGGTTGTCTTAGTAGTAAGGAATTAGGTATCTGAGGGTTGAGATAAAGGTGAAGGAATAGTGTCTGAGGGTTCAATAAGGACTGTGGGGCCTGGGGAAGGGTATTGTGATAAAAGAGATTCACGTATCCAGGAGAGAGTGGGGAAGGATGGGATTTTTTTTGGGGGGAGGGGGGTTGGTTTGGGTGGTATGAGTGGTTGAGAGGATGAGGTATGTGGAAAAGAATAGGGGATTTGATTGGTAGATAGGGCGAGTAGACATATGTAGGTTTAGGGTATAGGGGAAAGATATCTGGGAAGATGCAGATACACCTTGTGTAGATGGTGCATGAGCAGAGCATGACTGTTTTGGAATAAGTCGAGAGAGAAAAACCTCATCGTTGTGCTTCCTGTCTGGGCTCACAGAGTGAGGCCTAGTTTAAATCTGAGGACTGCTACCTCACATTCAGACTTATAGACAGGGCAGCTCCTATAAAACACATTATGGGAGTCTCTACTATTGGCATAAGTATATGACTGAGCAGGGCAATTTGAAAGGTCATGACCAGGTTGGGCACATAGAGGGCAGTGCTGTGGAACGACAATGTTTGCTTTGACGGCCAAAACACCAACATTTCTGACATTGACGAGGAAGGTGAAGATATTGTCAGACATAAGACAATCCACCAATATGAACCTCATGGGGGAGGTCTTGCCTATGGAAGCTAATCTTGACAATATTGATGTGGGATTTACGTTGGCCTCTGGAAGGAATAGTGTAACACTACTGCCACTGCATCATATTCACAAAGGCAGGAAAGTAGGTCATTTTCAGTCTGACCAGTCCTTGTTATACATGGGACAAGCATTTAGGGGAATAGAAATAGTTCCAGTACAAGTATTAAGAGATGGGTGAGGTTCGGCAGGAATGGGTTTGCCAGTAAGGTCAGTTAGAGTAGATAGTGCACGAGCTTGAGCTTCTGATGTAACCATAACAAGGCGTGAATGATCAAAGCGACGGCGAAAGGTAACCTTGCCTACTTGTTTCTGGAGGCACTGCTGAAAGAAAAGGGGGCTATGGGCGAAATCACAAAGAATCGATCCCACTTGGCTGGGCCAAATAGAGTACTCAGGTTTGCAGAGGTAGAGGCAGTCGAAGGACGAGGGCGAGAGGAAGATGGGGTGGTATGGAGTGGAGTAGTTCTGCGGAGGGAAGGACAATAAGGATGAAGAGTAGTAATAAGGGAAGAGGGGGTTAACATTGAAGAGGGTTGTGCAACAGGAGATGAAGAGGAGAATGTTGGGGATGAGAAAGAAGTGCTTTTAAGGGCTTGAGTAATAACCTGGGTGGGTGTTTCAGAACTATTTGAGTTGTTCATAGGCGTCGAAGAGGAGGTATTAGCATCAGTGGTCGGAGCTGTGGTCAAAGGAGAGGCAGGGGTTAGAAAACCATCAGCATCAAATTCAGATAGGCTATTTAATGAAGGGGCTAGCCTTAATGCCTCTCTTAAGGGTAAAGAATCTTCATCGAATAAAAGGTGGAAAAGAAACTGTCTACTCCACAGGGTCCCTATAAGGCGTAAGGGCTAGGTAATTATCCAAGGGAATACCATGCCCATGGCTCCCGGAGGCCATTCGTGACACAAAGCCATCCTTTCATCTTTTCAGCATGGCTCACACCTTAGGAATAGGATAGAAGAAGGGAATAAAGAAGATACAGAAGAGGAAAGAGAAAAAAGGACCAAGCAAAATTAGTTGAGGCAAGGGCTGAGACCCAAGGTAGGGGTAATCCTCTACATTGGGCCTCAGTCCCCATCTCCCAAAACCCTCCCATGACGACAACGAGCTAGGTTTTGGGAGGGTGGCCACAGCATCATGCAGGTCCAGTCGGTTAACCCAATCATGACGGAGAAATTATTTTCTGTGACAAAATCACTACACAACAGTCTAGACTCTGACGGTGTTTGCTTTGTACAGCCAGTTCACCCATTTGCTTGCTCACTACGGCTAGTCATGATGCAGATACACATCATACATCATTACATCGTGACAGCTATAGCTGTAATTGAGAAATTGAGAACTTATATATGAGATTCATACATTATAAAATAATATATCAGACAGTATTGTAATATTTATCTTGCTTCCCACCTTTAAAATATAGAGCATGTACTTAATGATCATCTAGTTTTACATTTTTATTCTCCCAATGTCATGGCTAACTAGAATATTTAACAAATCCCCTTCCCTCTCCATAAAATAATTTGCACAAGGCAGTGAGCAAGTAGCAAATGGTGCAATTATTAGCTAAAAGAATGAGGTATTATGGACCTCATAGACTATCATTGCTTGAGATTAGTTTCCATATAGTACATTTTTTGTCTGCATTTCAGGACAAAGTGGCTGCATTGTAAAGGTACCTGTTAAAGTTTTATGGTCCCTTTAAGGTCTGTAGATTCAAGTGAAGCATATGCCTACAAGAGAATTTCAGTGAAGTGATTTATGAATACAGCAAGCCCATTTACCACAAAAAATATATATTAATTATTTCAGTGTCACATTTGGGTAATATTTGAATGAAGCTTGGTTTGTCATTAGTGTATTAACTGACTTCACACAGTGGCCAAATAGCAATCATACTTATTTAGAGTGGCTGGCACCATGTGCTCTTTCTCTACTAATCTGTTGTAGCACTCATGTGTAGCTTTTTTGTTATAGGAAAATGTTTACTTTTTTTTTTTTTTTGCAAAGATTAAAACCCTATGATGCCTTGACATTGACAAATTACCTTCTTTGAAAGATTAATCTTTTAAATAGATCTAGCAAAATAGTTTGGATTTAAGATCCTAATATCACAAGTTAAATGAAGATCCAATTCCAATCTTTACTTTTTCATAAAAAAAGCAGTGGAACAGTAAAAGAAAAAACTTAATTTTTCAGTTTATATTGTTTCAAAACACTGTAACTATAGGAAGTCACAGAATTATAAGTATTATCACAAATAACTTTTTAAACTAATTTCATGTTCTTTTATAAGCTAAAACTAGGCTATTTCATTCTTGCCTAACATACACTGGGATAAGTTTTATTTCATATTATAATGTTAAACAAATCTAATTGCCAGATATATATACGGTGGAATAGCATCAAGTATTGACTGTGATCCAATACAATATCAGTACATCTAATAAGTTATAGTACACACTTAGGTTCATTTTCATAGTTCACTCAACAATGCACAAGCAAAGCTATATACTGGAAGCAGATTTTTTAAAAGTCAATCTACTTACTTTCACTTTACAAATCAGTTCAGATTATGTTCCTCCTCTGATAATTGCACATTTGTCAGTCATAACCAAAAACAACTATTACTAATTACACTGCCTAATAGATAATAAAATATAATCATGTAAATCCTTCCCTTTCAATTGAAAATTAACAAACATACAAATTCTTTCCTTTTAAAGACCACATTCTCTATGAGACCCAATTATAAGTTTTGTGACCTTTGTAGTGTGTACATTGTTCCATATTCTACAATGTTACATGATCCTACAATAACATAATATAATGATTTAATCAAATACTATAAAGGACAAGATACAATACCATGCTTGCAGGCACCCACATGCACCCACAAACATACAATTGGTCTGAGCACCAGAATGCAATGCCTGTGGATTACATCAACTTAATCAAATAATTATTCTAAATAATTCTTGGTACTAATATTTATTTTAACATTTACCTAATATTCTTACCTAAATATATTTAAAACATGTAAAATATAGATAAATAGTCAAGTAGATATTTATAATGATTCATAAAGATGCACGCTGCATCTTGGCTCTACACTCTTTTTCTCACTCTTGTTTCAAATCTCTTGTTCATGAGCTTGGAAAAATATATGAAATAAAAAACCTGATATGTAAACTGAACATAGGCCATTTCTCTTTCAACTTGTGTGCCTTTTTTTCTTAAAGAGAAAATAAATAAAACCCCAAAGTTCTTCTTAGGAAAATAATATATGCTTTGATATGCACCCTAGGCTAATTTGAAATGCTAACAATGTGGACTAAATACTTCATGCAATGGTTTATTAATGGATATGAAGACTTGCATAAATGCCGATAACTGTTAAAAAGGAATGAACAACCTGCAAGAAGACACTGACGACCATTTGACAAATTTTAAAATAACACGGACTTGCAGAAGATTTACCAGATTGCATAGGTAAAGAGTACATGTCAATAAATTAGCCAAATTTATGATTTCTTGTGGGACCAAAGAGGGTCTAATCCACTAAATGGATCAGCTGGATCATCTGGAATCTTCAAGGGTCCAGACGGATTCTCAAAACTTTCTTTGGTGATTTTGCTTGGCTTTCCAGGCACAGGCGGATCAATTTTAAATTGCTGTGGGTCTAAACTAGCAGCTAAGCTTGGTGCTAATGATGACAGGTCTGTGTCCAGAAGACCACCCACTTTCACAGCCCTAGTGTTGAGCTTACTGTCCAAGGCACTCTCTTCTACTTTATCTAAACTACCATCTGCTTCACTACCATCACCACCAACAGAGGTATCAGGAACCTCTAAAGCACTAGATGAGCTTGGTTCTTGGCTGCTTTCCCTCTGCCCTTCTCCTACTAGATCAATCCCAGCAGACGATCCATTGCTAAGTAGAGATGAGGCAGAGTTGCTTCTTGAGCATTCCCCTTCGCTTCTTGCTTTACCACATTCTTGGTCTGCCAGATGGAAAATGTAAACATTTAGAGGTAAGAAATGGAAAAATGGCTAGTACTCCTAAAGAACCACTAATTCACCTTACACTTTATCATAATCATGCAATGTGAGTTGTATTTATTAATATTAACTTCTTTATATATTAATCATATATCAAGCTTATTTACACTTCCATGAATCACCAAATACACTTATTGAGATTACTCTGTATATATCAAAAGAAAGCCATAAAAATTCAAACAAGAGAAAAACTAATTCACCTGTAACTTCACTACCAAGAAAAAAGGAGACCCATTCACTAGATTTCAAACCAAGCTAACACAGCAAGACAAAAAAAAAAGAAAGAAAAAAAACCCAACCTCTCACCCATACACACATACATGGAAACTAAAAGTTGGAGTATGACAACACTGCAAAAAAATACCAAAGCATACCTAAACCCAGTTTGCTTTTAAGCCGAGACAAGTCATAGGAGGACAGGAGGTCAGCAGAGGGATGGCGGACATGGGTTTTTTCTCGGGGACCCTCCTCAAAAGTAGCCTTATTGGTCAGGATTCCTCCTACGAACAGGGAGGGGGAGGGGAATACTTCAATAACTTTCAGGTACAGAGACAAAGAAAGTCTTCTACTAAGTCCTAAATACTTAAATTTATAAAAACTTGAGTTAGGGAATCTTTGGCTCAGAATTTGTTTTACATAAGGAATAATATTTCTACTTTTAGCAGTAACTCACATTAAAGGTTTGCAGATATACAAAGTGTAATCCATAACTATTTTAAGTTTGTTTCCTTTCCATTCATGATAACTTCCTTTAATTTTGTTGACCTACAATAACATAACATTTCTTGAAAAAGCTGACATGTATGTAAGCAGTATTTAGAGATATCTAACATCAATACAGACCACTTCAATTTTCACAAGAGACATGCTGTACATTTGTACAACCCACAGTCACTCCTCGCCTTTAACTGCACTCTGGGAGTAATGTCAGATACACATTTGTGAAATTTTCACTATCTTTGTCCTGTCTCATTAATAAAAGAAGTTATATTTTAGTAAACCTTTAAAATGTTTTATTTAACTGACTAAAGCAAGGGACGGTATTCCCAAACGTCAAAGACAATTCTTAGTGATTTCCTCTATTATTCAGCACTGCTAATTAGAACATACATTCATATAATTATAGACCCCATAATGATAATTAATTGTAACAATACAATAAACAAAATGCTGCAATAAGCCTTACATATATTATGATGATAGTGTAACACATTTAATTTAATAAATTGTAATATGCCACCCCTACACTTGTTATCGTATCAACTACAGGTTGTGCAGGGCCATTATATTTTAAAATATAATATTGCAGTAAAAAGAAAGGAATTGGCTCAATCAATGTTTGACAACATAACAAAACAGGGGCCTCCAAGTTTTCTTTATCATTTCCAAGGTAGAATAATCTTCAACATAGAAAAATTGCATTTTAGTTATCCACCTCTCATTAAGACAATTTACAGCCAGTCCTTACTCACATTAATAGAAGACTACAGTAAAATAAATGTAGGAAACAGCAAAATTAACATCTGATATTAAATTGAAAAGGCCCCCAAGATTTTCAAAAAAAAATTCCATATGGAATTAAATTCATCATATGTAAAATTTCACTATAGATGTCTACATATCATAAGGAAAATTTAAGGACTTTCCATACACATATAGCACACCTCCAGATTTGTCTCAAACTTCAGCCAAATCATAGAAGATGAAGAGTCAGAGAAATTTGTGGAGTCAAAAACGGATAAGGATAACTACACTAGTAAAATTAAGGACCATTTTAGATTTATTGTAAATCATAAATTGAGTCATTTCCTACATTTATGTTCCAATATTTTATTTGAAGGCCAGAAAAGGCAAAGCACACTTTCACAACTGAAATTATTTCAACAAATGTATGAGTGTTATGTTACAGTCACATAAATCAAATGTTTCATATTGGGGACTGAGCACCTGTGGAGACATCTATGTGAAAACAAATCTCACAAAAGAAAATGACAGTGACTACCTGGCAAGGTTTAACTTTTGAGATGTGGTAACAGTAGAACAATATTGCTAAAACAGCCTTAGATCTTTTGTGAATACTGCCCAAGTGCTTTGAAAATGGGTGTATATGAGATGATAAAGAAGCAAAATTATTCAAGGTGGATACAGTATACTGAAAATTTAATTGCAGCATAAATATATTTTTTAAACAAACTCAGGCCACAATCATATTTGGTCTCACTCAGAAAGATCCCTTTTACATGCATACATAAATAAATAAATATGTGTATATATATATATATATATATATATATAT